TATACCCCTCCTGAAGCTCCGACAGCGTAAGTTCTTCCCCCCCAGTCACCAAGACATGATCCACAGAAGTCGAGTCTACTTCCGGCATGCGGGAAAGGGCATCGGCTACCGTGTTATCCTCCCCTGGAATGTAACGGATCTTGTAATCATATTGTGAGAGAAACTCCATCCAGCGTGCTTGTCGTTTTGAAAGATCCTTTTGAGTATCGAAGTTTTGCAAGGTTTTATGATCAGTGTATATTTCAAACGAGGACCCCAACAGATCTGTCCTCCACTTGTGCAACGCTCTCACTATCGCCAGCATTTCATGTTCATGCGTTGGATAATTTTGCTCCGTGGCTGTAAGTTGCCGTGATTCAAATGCTACAGGTCGCGCGGTCTCCCACGACTCTCCAAACGAAAGAACGGCCCCCGTACGCCGCTTGCTCGCATCACACGTCACAAAAATCTTCTTTGACCCCGGACATTCATGTTCAATTGTTGTCAGGCAATCGCGACCGAGCACCAACTGTTTGATGGCATCAAATGCCAACTGATGTGCTTCCGTCCATGGCGGGAAGTGCAGATTACATTCCTTCTTCGTCAGGGGTGTCAAAACTGATGTATGCTCTGCAAGGGCTGGCAGGAAAGTCGCGATGTACCGTACTAAACCCAAAAATTGACGAACGTGTTTGGCTTTCCTCGGAGTTGGCCAGTCCACTATCTTTTCCACCTTCGACGTATCTGCCTCTATTCCTCGTTCGGAAATGTGATGACCTAAAAAATCGATCTCTGTGCAGAAGAGATCGCTCTTCTTCAACGAACAGAACAGCCGCGCCTTCCTAAGAGCTTCCAAGACCTTAATGACATTTGTTTCGTGTTCCTCAATTGTTCGTGACCAAATGATAATGTCGTCGAGGTAGACGTGACAAATCTTCCCGATATATGGCCTTAGTGCCAACATGACTCTGCGCTGTTGAGTGGCAGGCGCGTTCCGTAATCCCATTGGCATAACCACCCACTCCCACAGTCCAAATGGCGTCAACGTTGCCGTATACTTGATGTCATCTGGGTGGACCAACGTCTGGAAAAACGCGTTCGTTAAATCTATCTTTCCCCAGAACTTCGTCCCTGGTCGCGTACAGTCCGCCAGAATGTCATCAATCCGAGGCAATGGAAAGTTATCAGGAACCGTCTCCGCGTTGAGCTTCCGATAGTCATTAACCCATCTTGGCAAGACAGACGGATCCGCTTTAGGAATAATGAAGGATGGACTTGCGTATTGAGATGACGAGGGACGAATACGACCCGCCGCCACATGCTCATCTATAAGCCGTTTCCAACCATCCCTGTACTTTCGTGGACATGAATACGAGCGCGCAACTGTGATCTTTGCCAGTGGTCTGACTTGGATGCGATGATATACGTCGTTTGGAAGCTCACTCGCATGCGGAATATCTGGGGGAAACTGAGCCTGATAACGCTTCTTGAGGCGCGCATCCATCTTTTTCAACCTCTCCTGGAATGCGAGCTGCTCTATTCGAGTACGCACATAACCCACCAACCGTGATTCCCCTGTCGACGTGTGATTCCTCAAGTCTTGAAACTCTTTCGATTTTTCCGCAAAAAGGGTGCTCAGCTCGAACAGCACCTTCTTCCTATCTTCCTTCGCAACCTTCTGCCCTTCACCAATCCACAACCTTTCCTTAATTGCACGCTTCTTATCATTCCTCCGTCTTACGTGTGGGGCCTCTTCCTCCCCCGCAACCAGACGTCCTTTCGGATCAGGAGGGTTCAATAAATCAAAACCCGTCGACTTGTCGATGATGGTCTTCTCTTCGGGATCGATCACTAACTTGTTCTTCGACAGGAAAGCCAGTCCCAAGATGATCTCGGCATGCAACGATGGGCAAACAACAAACACTTGGGACCTCGAGGTCCACTGAGAACACGGCGATATAATTACAAGTTTCACATATGTCGATAACAGCAGTTCTTCATCTTTCTTTCCCTTTCCAGCAAACGCTCCTGAGACTTTCAAAGGCCTAGCCAATTTACGAGGCTTCAACCCCAATCTATCCACGAGCGTCGACGAAATCAGAGCTGGAGGAGAACCCGTGTCAATTAGTGTGTTCTCAATCCGTGTAGGCGCGATCTCGGGAGCCGAGACCATGCAAGAATACGTGATGTGCCGAGGAAGAACGTACTCAGACCCCGCATCACTTCCCTCCAAAAGTTCTTCGAAAACCGCGGCCACCGTGACACCTGTGGCCTCCTTCTTCCCCTTTGCCGGATCTGTCTTCCCCACGCGCTCAGCCCTTGTTGCTTCCGCCAACGCCACTGTCAGCTTCCGCTTGCTATATTCAGCCAAAGTCAACATCTTGCCCTTGTCAGGGCAATCTCGAGCACGATGGTCGACGTAGACGCGTCGGCACTGGTAACAACCCTGATGCTCATCCAAAATCTTTCGTTCTTCCGCCGTCAGCGCATATACATATGTACGGCCTCCCCCCCCAACTCCCGACACCTCAGTCGATGCTCCTCCACCCGATTTCCCAGCTGCACCCCCTCTTGCCACATTTGTCGTGTTCTTCAAGTGCGCCTTAGTGGATGCCGCAATCGACGCTGCCAAGTGTCGACTGATCTGCGCCTTCTGGGCTGCCAAAGCTAGATCGAGATCAGACACCGTCCGAAGCCACTTCGAAAATTCTTTGATATCATCGTAACAACCATCCTTGTTTCCGATGGAATAGTCGCGGCGCAGATCCTCGTGGCAATGCAATAATAAGTGGTCGCGCATCTTCTCCGGATTGATGTAGAAACGAGGGTTGGTACTCAACGTGTCATTTGCCTCCCTAATTCCACTCGCCCATTCCGCAAATCTTTCATCCTCCCCTTGCTTCTTCGTCAACGCCTGCGCCGTCTCCCATTCCCAATCCGTCGCAAGTACCTCTCCCCTAAGACGGGACATGAACGCTGCAAAAGTAAGCCCCCGTAACTCCTCCTCATTCTCCCTGACCCAGGCCCTGACATCACTCGAATCAATATTATATAACACCTTCTCAACTTGCCTCTCCGGCGCAATCCCCTTATGGCTGAAATACCGCTTGGCGCTATACTCAAACGCATCAAGCTGTCGCGGCCCTATTGTTCCCCGACCTATAATCGGAGCATGACTCGCCGAAACCTGCGTAACCTCGGCCGTGTATGCGGTTCCAAACATCGAGGGCATGATCTGTGAACAAGGACTAACAAGACGTTCTGCGGCTAAAGACGAATCGGAACTCGCGGGAGACGGAGACAAATCTAGAGAAACGCGGGACTGAGGTGTAGCTGGCGGTTCTGTTAAGGGTGATTCCCTTGATACGAAACGTGACGGAGATCGAGTACGAGTACGAGGACGAGAGCGTGTATACAGAGCTTTCTGCTGAGAACGAGTGCGAGCCAGAGTGTCCCCTAGTAGCGAGTCAAGAGCTGAGAGGGGTTTCGAGTAAACCGCCATCTCCCAAGCCGTATTTATACCAGTTACACGTGTAACAAATTCCTTCCCCCCCCCAAGATCACCAGACTCCTAAACCCAGAGCTGTCAAGAAGACCTTTTCCCCTGACACTTCCGATTCTAACAGATCGTCGGTCCGCAGTAATTGACAAGACGGATCGTCCTCGTAAGGGTAGTCACAAGGAAACCAGATAACCAATTCGATTCAAAAAAAAAGTGGAAGCGAACGCTCAGCGCTCGACCTCACTGCCTCGAGTCGACGTGAATGGAACAGGTTATGATTCAAGAGGTAACTAACTATCTACTTTCGACTACCCTTGTACTATATACTTCCCCTAATTAAGGTTTTATCTACGTCATGAGTACTCGATCGATCTCGCGTTCGTTGGTCGTTGTAAGCACCCTGCTTACATCAACCCATTGACTTTGTCATTACATACCTGTTCTCCATGATGTATTGACCACACAGCCAATTTTTCTTCTCCGATCTTTATTAGCTTATCCTTCGCAGCGCGACAAAAGCATAGACTGAGGAATTGCAGATGATTTATCGCATCGGTCTGACAGGCCTAATGTATTTCTTTTCGTTTTTCTCGAGCAGGAGGAGCTGCGTTCAATCTCGATACCAAAATGTCGATGGCTCATCAATCTACCTGTTTTATGCAAGGTCTTCTGTCAATGTTCAAGCTCGGAAGACTATATGTGGCGAGATAGAACTACTGGTTCAGTCCAGTAAGACCGACTTCGCCCTCCCACGTCTTCGCTCTTTGCAAACTCTATGTTTTTGGTTGTGCGGTCACCGTGGATTCCGACACATAACCGGGGAACGCCTTACAGATCCGACCCTCTCGTATGTTTATATAATGCGTGATCCCGTAGAAATGTGTCAATCTGGCTCTTCCAGTTTCCTCGAGGTTCAAGCTAACTTAGTCGCTGCCATGTTGATACTTTCTAAATACAACTGCGTCTATCATCAAACAGTTTCGTGTCCTCATGCCTGAATTTTCGACATTTTGAACAGAATCTCTTTCGAGATTTCCTGATCTCTAAAAGCATTGTACTCTCTGTCTTAAAACCGCCGTATGACATTGGACTGAACTTTTCACTTGCAATTTCTTCAAAGTCACAGAATTCGTATGTCTTCCAGACTATTCCAGATCTACAGATCGCATGTTGAACTCATTGGCCGTGAGAGGGCAGTCCAATGACTCTGCACGTATTCAGACTAAACCATGACCATCAAGATCTTATTAGACATCAGACATAAGCCTGGGAGAGCAGTCGTATTTTGGCATATCTTGCCTGACACCAACTAATGGACAGGTTTTATGTGGGCCCGGGGATGTTTCGGCTTACGAGGGAAGTCAATTGGATCTTGGACAAAATAATGCGTACAGCACATAATTTCATTCATCTTGTGCCTTTTACTCAAACGTGGGGTGAAACTTGAGTCCCGAGCGCCAAATGTGGCTTTCAAACACGGGGGAAAATGTGGAGGTAAATGGGAAGTAAAAATTGATGATTCGGATACGGGGAATCGAACCCCGAGCTGCCGCGTACATACAGATCATTTGTATGATGAAAGGCGGCAATGTTAGCCGTTACACCATATCCGATGTCTTTTGTAGCAGAAAACTTGAGAATATTCAGATTTCTTGTCTGATACATGTCGCTTGCTTGTTGGATATCCTATGGAGAGAAACTATGTCAGTATCCTTCATGTGTTTTTTGTTCCCAGGAGCAGCGGGAGCTCTATGTAAAACATGGCCTGATGCATCGACCTTTTGGCCGCCTGTAAAAATTTCCGGCACTGCATTTTACTTCTGAAGAAGAAAAAGCAGCCATACATTAGATAAAATCTGGGTTTACCCAACCATACATTCGGATACGGGGAATCGAACCCCGAGCTGCCGCGTCATATTCTCCATTTCAGTACATTGAGAGGCGGCAATGTTAGCCGTTACACCATATCCGATCATAAATTAAATATCGATACCATCTCTCACCAGACAAGCTTGTTCTCTGCTGGGTTGTAAGTGAACAAGCCCTTGTGTCGTTACGTGAATCATGTATA